TATATATATATGTATAGTTAGACCTGTCAAAATGGCCTCAACTCATCAGGTCGGTTCATTTTTTATTAAATATGGGATGGATTGGATTGAAAATTTTTGGCCCATATTTGAACCGGACCTAAATGGGTCAGCCCACCAAATCAGTGGGCTGGGGCAGAGCCAGCCCCATAGGCCAAAAAAATAATTTTATATATTTAATTATGAAAAATCAATAATTTAGTTACCAATAGTATTGTTTATTTTATATATTTCAATGTCTTTAATCTTCACTTGTCAAATTAAAATTTTTAATTTAAATTAAAACTTATTATCTTTTTTTCTTTTATGGTAATGAATATTAGATGATAAATTGATAATAATTCAGACCTTGAGACATCATTGCTGTCTAAACAAGATTTAAATGTTTTACTTGAGAATGAAGATTGAGAAGGATATAAATGAGTCTTGAAATTTTTATTATTTGGTTATATACTTATGTTTATGAGATAGTAGTTTGTGTTAAAGATTTAAACTTTATTATGTAATTTATTTATTTTTTTATATTTAGTGTAATTTATTTATTTGTAACATGTTTTTATTATTCAATTTATGTATTAAATCATAGAACAATTTTATTAATAAAAAATTTATCAAGTAAAATTATAAAAATTAATTTTTTTTAAAAAAAATAAAAATGGGCTGGCGCAACCCAACCCATGGGCTAACAAAGGGTGGGTTGGGTTGAGTTTTAATGGCCCATATAAAAATGGGCTGGCCCGGCCCAACTCATATTTTTTTAACCCACAAGGGCTGGGGCTGGGCTGGGCCGGGACAGCCCATATTGACAGCTCTATATATAGTCAAGCAAGCTTCTATACACTACAAGAAATTCAAATTTTTCCGATAAAAATTTTCCAACGAAATTTTTCTATTGAAAATTTCTAACGAATTTTTAACGAAATTCTGACAGAATTTTCATGTTACTTTTTACGACGGATTTTCAACGGAATAATTTCAATGGATAAATTTCATTGGAAATCCATCGAAAAATTTTTTGGCACAAAAAAAAATTACCTCCAAATGTTCCAACAAAATTTCTAACAGATTTCCGTTGCAAAATTTCCAACAGAAAATAATTCGTTGGAAATCCGTTGGAAAGTTAGAACGTGAAGAAAAATTTAAAGTCTAGTAGATTTTCCAACGAAATTTTTCAACCGAAAATTCTGTCAGTATTACTATTCT